TTATGAGTTTATATCCGTTAACTTTCAGAAGTATTCTTTGAAAAATGACTGTCATTAATTTTGCGGAAAATATTGGAAAACATTTGGAAAATAAAAGTCTGCATTGAACGGCATTAAATTTTCAGAGCACAGCAATGGCATTCAAAACAGTGGACGAAAAGAGTGTTTACCAATGCGTTGGTTATCCACTGCCATCCGATACTGATAAAATTGTGCGCATCCTCTTTAGGGATTCTGTACAGGATGCTTACACAAGTAATTTTTTGTGATTTTAATTTTTCACAGTTTCGCAGATTCGCCTTAGTGCAGCAAGCATTAAGATGATCGGGCGTGCAGCGACGTTTGGGCACTGGGACCTTGCTTTTACAGTTACCCTCTTTGCTGTTTGGCCTTATCTGCCAATCAAGCGCCATTAAATTTGAAGCTTAGCCAAAAAAGTCGTTCATTTAGGAGGTTTCAAAAAACTACTGGGATCTGCCGATTATTGCTAATGATAATCTCAGGCCGCTAACGCAGAAATCACGATAATCTGGCATAAGTCTTGTTCTGCTTTGAATTACTCAAGAAACGACCTTTCTTTTTTAATTTTACGATCAAAAAATCATTTAGTTTTTAAGAAAATTTGCAAAAACAATGCCAGCGGATGGTTGCTTTTGGCGCTTACTACTCTCGAAATGCTGGTTGCCTCCGTTTTTCATGGCAAGTAAATACTTTCGATAAAATCACTGAATTAACGTGGAAGGGCAATGAATGGATTTTTTCACGTATACTGATATGCGAAAAACAGTACTTTTTTTTTTCTTTGCAGAAATCGAAGAAATTCGAAGTGTGCGTGCATTCGCTCTCAGCGATATACTTAATTCAATGCACGATTATATATTTCGTTTATCAATACCACAAGAGGTTTTCTGCCGTTTGATGGTTTCGATGGCTGAAATTGAATATCGCTTGTCTCAGGGATGCTCCGACCGCTTACAGCTTGGAGCATTGATCGGTGCCTTCATCAATGTTCGTTGTGATTTAGGAAAATTTGCACCTAGAGAGGACAGTGCGGATCCATCGGCTTCCAACAGCATATGATCTCACTTTAAATTACTCGGCTTTCATCAGTTCTAGAGACAGGAGATTTAGTGGCATGCTTTGTCTGTTCTCCATGAAAGTCATTCTGTGCTTCCATTTTTCGGCAAGTTGTTTTCATTTACACTGAAAAATGCATTCAGATAACGTATCTAGCCTTGCTTTCTCATTTAAGTTTTGTAGACCAAATCAGTATCGAAACTTTGTCTACATTCCCTTTCTCTGGGAAGCGGTGGCGCTTGTGAAGTAGTGCCAGTGGTAGGAATTAGCAATGATAATCGCCCACTGTGAAGACTTTCGGTTTCTCCCGCTTTAGAAGGTTGATTATAAGCAAACTGATGGCAGGTTTAACTTGCTGACGTATGTTAATACCAATTTACCATCGATACGAATGAACGCGTTGTAAAGAGTTTGACTGGCACACCGGCGGAGTCGAACCCTCGGTTAACGAGGGGACAAACAGTGCTAATTTCCAGTGCGTCATTCCCACAGATTGCGGGTCAAACGTCTTAATAAATTTGAAATGTGCCGATAGCTGGCTATTTTCTTCCAGATTTGTTCAGCTAGCAAAATAGTTGCATGTCCCTTCAATACATGGCGGTTAGGAGACTGTACTGACGATTCCCACTCTTACTCTCGCATGCGTGTTACAGCTAAGGGATGAAACACAGGCTGCGTAGTAAATGACACTTAACTTGAATCCTTCTACT